CAGGGCTTGGTCTATTGTCTTGCTGATTGTCTAGCCTTAAGAAAATGATGGGGAAAATGTTAATAATGCAGATTAAGCTTAAAAGTACATCCTGGGCACATTTCCTCAGCCCTCCCCCAGCCAATAATTAAACATTTATCCGCACACTCCTGAGGATAGACAGTTCTGTCCTGTCCTATTGGCATCTCAAAGATCTTGGTGGGCTAACAAAAGTATTTTAGGGACATGATAGCAGGTGGATTACCCCCAGTAGGAGTGTATATACTTTCCCCATTTTTATATGTTAAAAAGCAAACAAAACAAAACTCAGTAGTCAAAAGAGGTTGTATGCATGAGAAGGGATTGTTGCATGAGGAGAAGAGATTCCAAAGGCAGCATAGGCCTAGGTAGGATTCTGAAGGCAGTAGTACTGAAAATGTGGCCTAAGTACCCCACTGAGGCCCCTGAGACCATTCCAGGGGGATCTGTGAGGTCAAAACTATTTTTATAATAATAATGAGACATTTCAACTTCTAGTATAGTAAACATTGATAGATGTAACCCACATAAGTTCTTTGGGGGACCCTAAGAGTATAAAGCAGTGTTGAGACCAAAAATTGCTGCTCTTAAAGACTACAGTCATGTACCAATCACAGATTTCTTTTTAAAAAGATACTTTGAGCAATATTGCCTATCATTCCTTAACTAAATTCTGAAGTTAGCCAGCAGCAGCCAGAGAAGGAAGAGCAGGTTGTTGCAGGTGCTGGTTATATCTAAGGGTTAGAAAGGAATTGAGGTGGCTACTGACTCAAGGAGAGTGCCACCTAGTGGACAAGTCAGGTTATACTCCCTCACTGGATAATTACTACAGAGACATGCTGCCTTTCTACAGTCTTTTTAAAAAAATAATATTTTATTTTCCCCCAGTTACATGTAAAGACAATTTTTAGCATTTATTTAAAAATTTTTTTGAGTTCCAAATTTTCTTTCTCTGTCACCTTTCCTATCTCTGAAATGGTAAGCAATTCAATATAGGTTACACAAGTTCAATCATGCAAACATATTACCATATTAGTCATATTGAGAAGGAAGACACAGACCCAAAGGGAAAAAAAAAACAAAATACTTAAAGTGAAAAATGGTATGCTTTGATCTGCATTCAGACTCCATCAGACTCCAGAGTTCTTTCTCTGGAGGGGGATAGCATTTTTCATCATGGGTCCTTTGGAATTGTCTTGGATCATTGTATTGCTGGGGATAGCTAAGTCATTCACAGTTGATCATTATATAGAATTGCTGTTCTTTCTATAGTCTTAAGGAAGGTTTTTGGTTGCCTCAGCTGGAAAAGGAGGGAGTTGGACTAGATGAACTCAAAGAAGCCTGCTAACTCTAATATTCTGGGATTCTATGGTTGTCTTTGGTTCATCCCTGTGACATCTCTGGTCTTCTAGAAATAAATGCTTGTCAAATTCACAGGAAGGGATGCCCTCCAAAGCAAAAAGATATTGGCAGCTAGGTGGCACAGTGGATAGAATGCCAGGCCTAGAGTGAGGAAGACTCACCTTCCTGAGTTCAAATCTGGCCTCAGGGACTTACCAGCTGTGTGACCTTGGGCAAATCACTTAACCCTGTTTGCCTCAGTTTCCTCATCTATAAAATGAGCTGGAGAAGGAAATGGCAAACCACTCTAATATCTTTGCCAAGAAAACCTCAAATGGAGTCACAAAGAGTTAAACACGACTGAACAGCATAGTACTTGTGGCGATGAAAAGAAGGATGTGGACAAGTTCATCAGTCAAGATATGTTGAGAGAAAACCAAATTCAGAGTCAGAAAGAACTTCAGTGGCATTTTGTATTAGGCCTTCCCTGATGAAGAATACCTATTACAGCAGATTTGGCAAGTAAACATTTAGTTTTTGCTTGAAAAACCTGCAATGAGAGGAAACTCAATACTTCCAGAGACACTGCATTCCACTTTGGGACTTTTGTTGGTTAGTCATTTTTCAGTGCCCAGGGTCACACGGTTCATTAGTAAGTGTCTGAGGCCAAATTTAAACTCCAGAAGGAGTCTCCCTGACTCCAGGCCTGGCACTTTATCTACTGTGCCATCTAGCTGCCTCCATTTTGGGATAGACTTAATTTGCAAAAAAAAAAAAAAGGTTTTTTTCCCAGCAGTTAGCCTAAATTTTCCTCTTTTCAACTTTTATTCATTATTTTTAGTTCTATCCTCCCCGGGGCCAAATAGAACAAGTTTGAGCCCCCGAGGCCCAAAAGGTAGTTGGTGATTTGAAACTAGAGCTCTGGAGAGAGGTTAGCACTGGATATGTAGATTTGGGAATCATCTGCATACGGATGATTATTGAACTCATAGGATCTGTCGCGATCACCAAGGTCTTGATCCTCTGTCTTTTCTTAATATCCTTCCTAAACTCTGGTGTCCAGAGTTGAATACAATGTTCCTGATGTAGTCTGACCCAAGCACAGTTCTGTGGGATCATCACATGCTTGTCTTGGGATCCTATAACTTTCTTAATGTTCCCTAAGATTGATTACCATTTTTTTTGCCTGCCATACTATACCAATGACTCATTGAGCTTGTGGTTTATTGAAACCTCCAGATCTTGTTCAGATATAGTTATCTAACCATGGCCCCCCTCACCTATCTTGTACTTTAGAAGTCAGTTTTTTAAACTTACTTATAACCCTTATATTTTATCCCTATTAAATTTTCTTTTTTTTTTCCAATTTGACCCACCATTTGATAAGATCTTTTTAGATCCTCCTTGACATCCAGTGTTAGTTGTTACCCTAAGCTTTTTACCATCTGCAGATTTGATTTTTTCTTTATCCAAGTACTTAATAAAGATGTTCAACAGCAAATGTCTGTCACTGATCCCAGAGGCACTCCATGGGAGACTGCTTCCAAACTAGTACTGTACCATACTGTACTCTCTGAATCCAGCCGTTTCTGAATCTGTCAGATTGGACTATTGTCAAATTCATATCACGCCATCTCTTCCCTTAGAATAGCATGAGATACTTTATCAAACACTTTAATAAAATCTAGGTCAACTATATTTATAGAATTCTCCTGATCTAGTAACTTAGTCAAGAAAGGGAATGAGGTTAGTCTGGCATGCATGACTTTAGCCAAAGTACTGAGAATCAATCATTTAGTCAATTAATAATTATTTATTAAGTGCCTACTCAATGGTAGGCACTGGGGATACAAAGGCATAATCTAAAAAGTCCCCTGTCTTGGAGAAGTACATGGTCTATTAGGGGAAGCAATATCTATACATCTAAGTATGTAAATATATATATATATGTATACATACATTATCTATCTATCTATCTATCTATCTATCTATCTATCTATCTATCTATCCACACACACACAAAATAAATTCATGGTAATTTGGAGGAAGAGGCACCAGCAACTGAGGGAGATCAGGAAAGCCTTCATGTAGGACGGGGCAATTAAGTTGAACTTTGAAGAGAGTTAGGAAAGCTCGGGATTTTAAGCAGTGCACACAAGAAAGGAATGCATTCTAGGCATGGAAAATAGCCTATGCAAAGACTGGAGACAAGAAATTGAATATTATACGTAAGTGACAGAAAATAAATTAGTTTGACTGGAGCTTAGAGTACATGAACCAGTGTTACGGATAATAAGGTTGGAAAGGTAGGTTGGGGCCATGTTGTGAAAGGCTTTTAATACTAAATCTGTATTTTATCCTAGAGGTCACAGGAACCTGCGGGAGCTTGAGTAGAAAAGTGACAGTAACATGGTCAGCCCTGTAACATCACTTTGGCTGTTGGAGAGAGGAAGAAACTAGAGGCAGAAAGGACAATCAGGCATCTATTGAGATAATCTAATCAAGACACAGTGAGGGTCTGAACTAGGGTGGAAAAGTGATCTAACCTGTTCTGGGTGAAATCATGCTGGCTCTTTGTAAACACTGCTTTCTTTTCTAGATGTTCACAAAACCATTTCTTTAATAATACAGTCTACAATTTTGTCAGAAATTGACATTAAATTCACCGGCCTACAGTTTGAAGTGGAGGGAATTTTCTTGGCAGGAGGTCTCTGCAAGGATGAAATCACAGGCCTATATATACACATAGGAACATACTTTATATGGTAGTAAATGCTGTAAAAGTTAATTTCAAAAAAACAAAAAATCACTCATGATAAGCCAGTTTCTTGGCAGCTAGGTGGCTAAGTGTATAGAGTGCCAGGCCAGGAGTCAGGAAGATGAGTCTTTGTGAGTTCAAATCTGGCCTCAGACATCTGTGTGACCTTGGGCAAATCACTTAACCCTATTTGCCTCAGTTTCCTCATCTATAAAATGAGCTGGGGAAAGAAATAGCAAACCATTCCAGTATCTCTGCCAAGAAAATTCCAAATGGGGTCACCAAGAGTCCGACAAGATTGAAAAAATAATAGGACACCTAGGTGGTGCAGTGAATAGAGCACCCACCCTGGAGTTAAGAGGACTTGAGTTCAAATCCGACCTCAGACACATAATATTTCTTAAATTTCTGGCCAAGTCACTTAACCCCAATGGCTTCACAAAAAAAAAAAGGATGAACAACAAAAAACCAATCTCTTGCTCTAAATTTCCAGTTTATTAGCAGTTTTTTCCAGGTTATTAGCAGTTTAATTACTTCAGGGTAAGGAAAGAAAAATCTTTTTTACTCCAGCTCCCTCCCATCATTCGCAATTGGGGCAAAAGCAGTTCTGAAGCATACTTCACATGGCCCTTCACACAGGCCCTTGAGATTTGATGGGGTGTGTGGGGAGGGGAATAAAGACTGCTATCTCTTTCACTGCAATGAATGACTACGGGTTTCAAATAAAAGACTTCATTCCCCAAAATACTTTGCGGGCCCCAAGAAAATGCAAATTTAACGCACTCTTTGTACTACCACGCCCCTCCCTTGGGTTGGCAGGGCAACTGATGCCCAAGGTACCCAATCAGCGAGATGCTCACCTGTGCTGGCGGGGACACATTGACAACCAATCGCGTGCGGGGCGGATGACCCTTCGGGCCAATGGGCCGGGAGAGAGGGCGGGTGTTGGGCTAGGCGGTGGCGGCGAGGAAGATGGCGGTGCTTCCCGGAGACTCGGGCTGGCGCTGGCGGTGGAGGTGGCGATGGCGGGGGTCGGGGGCTCGGCCTGTCCGAGCGGGCTTCGGCACTTTGCTCCTGCTCCTCCTACTGGGATCCGGGCCTGGGCTGGGGCCGGCCGAGGCGGACCAGACCGATGAGTACCTGAAGCGGGAGCACTCGCTGTCCAAGCCGTACCAGGGTGAGGGGTCCGGGGCCGCGCCGGGGGAGGCTTGGGCAGCGGGGCGGACTCGGAGAGGGCGGGTGGGAAGAGGTCACTGAGCAGAGGTGTCTGGCCGAAGGTCAGGGGAGCTCGGTGCAGGGGGAGGGCCGCTCTTCCCCAGTCCTGGCCGGGAGTGATCACCTCGCGGTTGAGCAGAGGGGCCAGGTCACTTGAGCCTTGCCCAGGTTTCTCGGGTGCCTGCCCTGGGTCAGGGCCCTGGGCTCTGCGGGTCCGGAGACAGCGCTGGCGGACAGAACCGGCTGCAGAGGCAACTAGAAGATGCCCAGGGAGTTATCTGCGACATGGCATCCCTGGATGGGGAGTCAGAAGACTTTGATTCAAATCCCAGCTCTGCCATTTAACCGCTTTCGTGACCTTGGCCAAGACGCCGAACCCCTAGAGGCCTCATTTCTCCTCTTTGGAAGAAAGAGGGGGTTATACCAAGTGACCCCCGGGGTCCATTTTAGTCCCAGACCTGTGAGCCCAAGGACTTGATTCATTTTTCTACGACTGAATAAATAAGTTAGTTAGAAACTTTCCCGTTCAAAGGGTCTGAGTAGGCAGTTCTTTATCCAAGCTGTAAACAACTATCCAAAAAAAAATGCTCCAAATGACCAATGGAGAAATGCAAAGTAAAATAACTCAGGTTCTACCTCGTACTCATTAGATCAACAGAGAAGGCAGAAAAGGGAAAATAACTAATATTGGAGGGGCTGTGGGAAAATAGGTACATTAGTGCACTGTTTGTTGGAGCAGTGACTTGGTCCTGTCATTCTTGGAAAGCAATTTGGAACTGTGAGCAAAATGTCATTAAATTATTCCTACCTTTGACTAGGTGATACCTTTATTAGGCCTGCACTCCAAAGAGATCAAAGAAAGATGAAAAGGACCCATATGTACGTAAATATTTATACTAAGTCTTTCTGTAGTGGCAAAGAACTGGAAACTGAGGGGATATCCATCAACTGGGAAGTGGTGTGTGAATGTAGTGGAATACTGTTATGTTGTAAGAAATACTGACAATGGATGGGTTCAGAGAAACCTGGAAAGACTTTTATGAAGGGATGCAGAGTGAAATGAGAAGGACCAGAACAATATATACAGTAACAATAGTATTGTAAAGCTGAAAAACATTTGAAAGACTTAAGATCTGTGATCAATACAGTGACCAGCCATGGTTCTAAATCCATGTTATCTCCTAACAGAGCAGTGATGAATTCAGGATACAGAGTGAGATGCGCATTTTGGACATGGAAAATGTGGGAATTTTTTTTCCCTGACTGCATATTTATAATGAGGATTTTGCTTTTATTTTTATTTTTTTCCATTTAAAGGGTGGTGTGGGAAAGAGAGTAAAAAAACTTGTTGATCAGAAAATAAAGTGATCACTCCCCTCATTGTTGCTCCCTCCCCTTACTTTCCTAGAACATTTTGTCTGCTTCACTCCTTTGCTACTATCTTTGGTCGTACTTCTGTGTAGGGAAATAATGTGATTCTAGTGAATAATCAAGAGTTAGAAGATGTGGGTTTGGACCTTGGTTCTGCCTAGGTAACCTTTTATGATTCTATAGCGTTTGTAGGCCTCAGTCTGGGCAAATCATTTAACCTCTCAGTGCTATCCAGGCAACTCTCTAAACCTTAGTTGTAGTACAGTTGCAAGCCTTTGTAGGGGGTGGGCATTTTTCCCACCAGAAGGTCCTCAAACCAATGAAATCACAGGTCTAGTTCTATTCCAGCAGTATCAGTGGATCCCGAAGTATGGTCCATGGGCCCCTGGACCTTCCTGAGGCCCTTTCAAGAGATATGAAAGGTCAAAAGTATTTTCATAATAATACTAAGTTGTTATTTGTATAACCCATCTAAACAAAAGCTCTTTGGGGTTCTGAATTTTTAAGAGGGTAAAAGGAGTCCTGAGACCTAAAAGTTTGAGAACTGCTGTGTTAGGCATTTTCTAAAAGATAAAAATGAAAAGCAGCCCCTCAAGGAGACTACATTGTACTCAGTGGATACTATATTTAGACATGTAAGTAAAGACAAAATAATCAAAAGAGGGAGAACCCACCAGTCTCTGGGGAGTTTAGCAAAGCCTTCGCTAAAATATGTCACTTGAGTGGAAACTTGAAGGAAGCCCAGGATTCTAAGAGTCATTGGTCAGGGTAGGAGCTGGAATGCCAAGTTTGGGGAACAGGAAGTACTTCAGATTGATTGGAATGTAGACAGTGTGAAAGGGAGTAATCATGTACACACACACACATACACACACACATGCGTGGATTCTTTGTGCCTGACCTGTGGTAGCCTGACCTTCTGATGTTGTATTGATCTGATCAGCCACAATTGGACATACTGTACCTTGACTCAAACATAGTGATGTCATTTTTGGTCCTTTGAAAGGACCAAAGGTCTAGAAGGAAGGACAACCACCAACCAAATGTATATACCTCTGTGTGTGTGTGTGTGTGTGTGTGTGTAGTGTGTATACACAACTGACAACTTGGAACATATATGATCTGGTTCTAGGAGGACTGAGGCATAAGTTGTCTGCCTTTATTTACTATTGCATCTCAATGTAATTGTATTAATAATAGCTAGCATTTAAGGTTAACCAAGCTCGTGATATACATCTCTTTTGATCCTCTTAATCCTGAGAGGTAGGTGCTATTATTATCCCCTTTTTTTAGATGAAGTCTAAAGAGCTTCAGTGACTTACCCAGGGTCACACAGCTAAGGCAGAATTTGAATTTATGTTTTCCTGACTCCGAAGTCCAACATCTCTATCCATTTTTCCACCTAGCTTCTTTGATTGTGGGCACTTTTTCCCCCCTCTTATGATACCCTAGTTTTTTCACGTATAAAATGGGAAGAATGATTCTGACCTCTTACCAGTGATGGATGAGTGCATGGATGAATAAATGAATAAACTATCATCTCTAAAGTTCTTTGAAATCCATGTCTGGAAAGAGTACCACAGGAGAAAAATTTTAAAATGTGTCAGTGAGATGCAGAGGTAAGGTAGCGAGAAAATAACATCTGCTTAAGACAGGAGGAGGCATGCAGTCGATACAATAGAAAATAAAGCATTGTTGGTTTATGAGAATTCTTCTACTTTCCTCCCTATAGGTGTGGGTACTAGCAGTTCTTCACTATGGACGCTGATGGGGAATGCCATGGTGATGACCCAGTATATCCGTCTTACCCCAGATATGCAGAGCAAACAGGGAGCTCTGTGGAACCGGGTGGTAAGAATCTTTCTCCCTACTCTGTTGGTGTTCAAGTAGGCTATACAGAAAGTTTAGAAGTCATACTGGCTCAGCCCTATGTGCATTTGCCCACTCTTATTTCTGACAACAGTTCCAAGTGACCTTTTCTGGGAGGGGATGGTAGTTGCTTTGTGTGACATACCATTTATGTGGCTAGAGGAATACTATAAATATCCTTCATTCTTCCCAGATAGTTCAGTATGGATTTGTCATTCATGATATTATTTAAATCCTTCTCATTTATGTTTTGAACTTGTAAAACCTGTTAGAGTAACAGGTTCAACATACTTATTACTTATTTGCTAAAGTACTACATGGCCAAACAAAGTAGTACATGGCTTCAGTGTGTGTTAAAATTACTATCTTTAGGTTTTTAGGGGTCTCCCTTCATTATACTGACTGAAAAGTATAATCTTGTTGTTTTCACTCTGGAACTCTTCTCACTTCATTTTGTCTTCCTTCAGCAGTGCATGCCATATTCCTAGTGTGGACCTGATTTCATACAAGTGTAAGATGAGGCTATTATTTCTAATATCCTTTCAAATCCTTTAGGACTGTTTGGTTTCTCTGCATCATTCTTAGTATCTTAGACTTTCTCTTGGGCCCCTGTGAACCTGAGCTTGCTTTTTTGTGTCTGTGTTACAAACACTAAAGATGAGCCTTTGAGCCTGCTGATGATCCTCAGCAAAGTAGAACTGTTGCACCATCTCCTTATTAATTTTATTTGAGCCAATCTTGTGGAAAGTGACAGCGGGGTGAGGGAGTTCATTTATCCAACAACCGTTCAGTTAATTTAAATTTTGGTAATGAATTATTTTTCCCCCCAATCTCATTCTTAGATATAGCCAGTGACAATTTGATAAGTCTGGGAGTCAGGAGACCTGGAATCTAGCTCCAATTTTGTCACTGAATCACTGTGTCATCTTAGGCAAGTTAACTTCCCTATGCTTTTGTTTTCTCATCTGTCAGATTGGGTTGGTGCTACATGTTCTAGCATCACAGAACACACACATCACAGTAGCTTGTTGTTACGATAGAAACTATAATAGATGTCAAAGACCATGGAAAAATTATATTTGCTATAGTAATATTAGGCATTGGTATTCATATGATCATGTATGTGTGGTCTGCTGGGGGTTTTATGGGTTGCCAAATGGCAAAATCTCAATAGTCCTTTGGCATGCTGTTAAAAAATTTATTAATATACTTTGTTTTGGCACAATATATTCCCAACGCATATCCAAACAATCTTCCAACAAAGTACATTCCCTCAAAATAGTTTATTAATTGCTAACAGAAAGGATGTAGGTCATTATCTTTTAAAAATAAGTTTTTGTTGGTATTTTTGTCATGTCCTTTAACTTTGACCATATGGCACTAATATTATTCAGTTTAGTGGACAGTCTACCTGTTCTGATGATAGAGTACATGAAAAATGAGTTAACAAATAACTCTCCATGGTATTTGCTGTTGTTGTTGTTGACTTTGTTTTGTTTATTGTGTATATTCTTTTGGCTCTACTTTCATCACTCCTCATGTACATTCTCCTGTGTTTCTCTGAATTCTTTATCTTAATCCTTAAAATTTTAAGAAGGCTGGATGTTAGGATGGTAAAGTGGAAACGGCATTGGATCAGTAATCAGGAGCCGTTGCTTCTAGTCCTGGTTCTTGCTCTAGGCAGGTAGGTATCTCTGGGCAAGCTATTCTAAATACAAGGACCTTATCTTCCTTGCCTATAAACTGTAAACAACAAAATAAAAGATAAAACTTCAGCTCAAAAAATCAGCAACATGATTTAGGATATATTCTTGGATAGCTGTTTATATGAAAAAGGCTTAGAGATTTTTAGTTGCCTGATATAATCAATATTATGATGTGACTACAAAAAAAATGCAGTTTTAGATTGCATTAGTAAAAATTGCATGTCTAGAATAAGGTTATAATAGTTTCATTGTATTCTGCTCAAACCACATCAGGCATAGGCATATTGTAATATTCTGTGTTAGTTGAATAAAGGTGAATAAAGATCAGGTTAAGGTATTTGCAGATGTTTTCTGCTTCACTCCTGAGGAGAAAGAGACCTAAGACCGCTGGGTAGAAGTTAGAGGAAGGTTGATAATAAGCAGGGTGGAGGCCTTTTATAAGAAATGGGGTTCTGGGGGACAGCTAGGTGGCGCAGTGGATAGAGTGCCGTCCCTGGAGTCAGGAGGACCTGAGTTCAAATGTGGCCTCACACACATAACACTAGCTGTGTAACCCTGGGCAAGTCACTTAACCCCAATTGCTTCATCAAAAGCAAAAAAAAAAAAAAGAAAAAAAAAGAAATGGGATTCTGCAGTTACCGGACTACCTTAGCCTGGATATAGACATCTCTTTTTGCAGTTTGACCCTTGACTGTACCTACTGCCATGTACTCTCTGTCATACAAATTAAAAATGAAAATGCAAACTGACTTAGTATGTTATAAGAAGGCAACCTGTGTTTTCAGATCTTCTGGGATGAACCTGCTTGGTCTGTCTTTGTTGTTTCCCTCTAAAGTAATTTATTTCCATTCAGAACCTGGGTATTTAAGTCAAACTTCTCTTTAATTTTTTCCTGGAACATCAAGACAATCTATGAGTCTTGGTGGGCTCTGAGAGAAAATAATTTTATCCCTACTTTAAGTGAACCTTACAATTGAAAGCACTTTTATTCTGCTGCCTTCAGATACTTTTGTGTTATGATATACAATTAGGAATCAGAAAACCCTGATTAAACACTCATTTCCTTAATATATATATATAAAATCATATTTATATGTTACAGCTTCTTCACAGCCACATTTTTCTCCTGAAATTTTCAGCTCCTGGTCTCTATCTGTTTATGCAACAGGCTTTTCCTATAATAGTTGTTCAGTAGTATTCTCTTCTGATGATCCTTGGGTGGGAAAAGTGGAGAGGGAATGTGTAATAGGTAAAGACATGCCTTGTGACATCTGCATCTAGTTTTAGGAACTTTGATTTACTCCTCAGCTTGGCAAAGGACCAAGAGCTGGTTGGAGTTGTTTATACCATCTGGTAAGTATTCCCGAAACCATTTCATGAGACAAGGTGTTCCCTGACTTGGCTTTTTTTGTTCTTTTATTTAGCTTTCCCAACTAAAGATTAACAGAGGAAGAACCCAAAAGCAGATTCTTTAGAGTTTTTCAATAGAGAGAAACTAACAGAATCACTTTGGGCCAAAAATGAATATTCAAAGGGTCTTATATAGAGCTGAAATAGACATAAGAAGCCACCTAGTCCAACCCCTTCATTTTATAGATGAGGAAACAGGATAAGAGAGATTTTAGTGACTTGACCCATAGTCACACAAACTTTGGATTTGAACTTAGGCCCTCTCACTCCAAATCCAGTGTTCTTTCCACTGTGTTATACTGCATACTCGTCCATAGAACTAGCCCTGTCTTCTCTTGGTGGTTGAGGGTGAGGGTGGTGAAGGCTGGATTTTCCTTTGACAGTTGAGGAAGTTAAGGCCCCACAAGGCTGGAGGACCTGCCTAGGGTCACATAGCATGTTGCAGAGGAAAGTATATACTGAACTAAGAGTCAGGAAACTTAGGTTTGAGTCCTACATCTGGCTAGGGCTAGTATTATTAGGATTGAAGCTGTGTTGTCAGATATTTGGGTTAGGGTTCATTGGTTTGTTGCTCAGTCATTTTGGATGATAGCAAATATTATTATTATTGATGCGGTGGATTGTGTTAAAAAGTATTTGATAGCAGATTCGGTGTCTCGTGAATGATTGGGGTATGTTATTGTGGGGATGATTGCTAGTGTGTTGATTTCTAGGCCTACTCAGGCTGTGAGTCAGTGGTTGCTTGCTAGTGTGAGTGAGGTTCCTAGTAGTAGGCTGGCAGAGATTATTAAGAGTACATATGGGGACATTAGTATGGGAGGGGTATAGACCAACATTTTTGGGGTATGGGCCCGATAACTTGTTTAGCTGACCTTACTAGAATATGGTGTAAAGGAAGTGACTATGGGTAAATCTGGGTTGTGTTTGTAGGACAAGTCTAAGCTAACTGGACTAATAATTTATGGTAGTCTTGATTCACCCTGTTGATTCAGTCTTGATTCAGCTAGTTTTGCCTGTAAGGAGTGAATGTGACCAGGCAATATATCCACAAATGCTTTCCTGAGTTATAGTTTTAAATGATCATAAGTTTAGAGATGGAAGAGACCTTAGAGATCATTTAGTTCAGCTCTTTTATTTGAGAGACGAGGGAACTGAAGGTTAGTGGAGTTAGGTGGCTTGTCCAAGGTCCCATAGCTAATAACTTAGCAGAGTAGGATTTGAACCTAGATCTTTTCAACACCAAATCTTTTGCTGCTTCTGTTCCACTGTATTGTAGTCAAGGCAGCTCTACACTCCATGGCTTTTCTGGCTCCCAACTCCAACTTCCTGTTACTACTCCTGTTTGGGAAACAACCAAGTGGAAGACACTTGAGGTAGAGGTAGTGGATGACAAGTATTGTATTTTTTCTAGGACTACTTCGGTCCTCAAGTGAAGGGAGCTTTCTATTTCTGTTATATAAAGAACCTGAGAGAACTTGCGTCTAATCAGTTGAGTCTCTTCTCATATTAATGTTTTAGATATATATAGGCAACAGGATTTCACATAAATTTAGTAAGTCATAGATCTCAAGTCCTAGCTTCTCTATAGTCTAGTTGTTATTGTGTTAACTACTTGTTCGTTTTCCCCATGTGTAGCTTCCTGTTGGGGAACTGAGGGCCTGGCAACTCATCCTTCTGTTGACTCTTATCCTTTTTCTTTTGTAGCCTTGCTATTTGAGAGATTGGGAACTACAAGTGCATTTCAAAATCCATGGACAAGGAAAGAAAAATCTGAATGGGGATGGCTTTGCAATCTGGTATACAAAGGATCGGATGCAGCCAGGTATCAGTACCTTTGTCTAGAGTCTCTTGTGTCGGGTGTGGAAAGATTTGCACCTTTGCAGAAGACACAGAAGGTGGCTTTCTTTGCAGGATGTGAATTACTTTGGCATCTGTGTTTATGGCCAACAAGTCTCAGCTTTAGAATGGGCCTGAAATCCTGGCTAAACAAATGGGTTTGGCTTAATCTCCAAATGGCTTTTTGTTTATTATTAATAGCCTCTAGGTTTTATATTTTCTACCATTTAGCATGTTGGCTGCCGAAAGCACAAAGAGCCCAACTCTAACAGTCACATACCCTGAAGAATCTTAACAGAACTAAGTCATAAGGGAGAATTAGAGATTTCTGCTTATGGAACTAGCGTCACTGTTGCTACTATCTCCAAGGAGATGGATCATTCTCTTTCATTTTACAGTATTTGTTCAGAAATGCCTGGACTTGTTTACTAGACCTGGAGACTACATTTCCTTTTATTGATACTGTTTTTCCTGGATTTATCTGCTTATATTTAAGGTCTTTTTTCCTGAAATCTTTTTTCCTCCCTTTTGATTTCCCCCCTCAATTTTCCTCATTACTCACTTCCTTACTCCCTCTCCTTTGATTATATTTTCCTTGGGGCTGGATCTAAAATTGTCTCAGCCTCCTCCTATACTGACACACTGAGCAATTCATGGTTCACCAGCCTAGGTTTCTGCCCCAACTGACTTTTAGGTGGTCAGAACTGGTCCCAGATGGATAATGTGCTCTTTCCCTAATGCTTAGTGGAGTCACACCATGTCCTGTCCTGGTGACCTCTGCTATTCTCTCTATTCCTTAGTTCTCTGACTGGGACCATCAGTTCAGAGCCTGCTTTCACTGGCACCAGCTGTTCAGAGCTTTGCAGCACTGATGCTTCCGGGTTGCAGCCCCTAGCAGGCTTTTGCTTCTGAAGGACTATAGCCAAGCTGGCTGTCAAGGCCTGAGCAAACTTCTACAACTTGGAGCTGGGGTCTCTACAGCAGTGGAAGGAGGAAGGGAGTGGAAATAGGATGCAGGGGTGGGTTTTGATGTAAGTCTGTGTCATTTCCTTGGATCTGCTAGTAAGGCCTCACTACTAGTGGAATGGGAGGCAGGGGCAGAATAGTGAGTGAGTTCAGGGTCAGTGAGAATCAGTTTGTAGGTTTTGGGGAATGTTTTTTGCCTCTTTTTGGATTCTGGGTGTCCTAGACCATGGAAACAGCTAAAGTTGCTTTATCTTTGGTGCGTAATTCCTGTGTTGGAAAGTTTTGAGAGGTTGTGGAGATCAGAGGTCTAGTCTGAACTCTTATTGCTTATGTAATCCCTCCTCAAGGAGATGGAAGGCTTAACTTGGTCTAACCTTTAAGAATTAAAAAACTTTGTTCCACAGTTTAGAACTTGAGAATTCACCTGCATATCTTGGGGGCATAGTCTTCCCTGAGTGTTTCTGAAGCAGAAATCTGTGAAGTTGGGGATCCTTGGCAGCCAGTGTTATATCACAGGGAGTTGCTGTGGGGCTAAATGAGTTTGGGATAGCGTTCTCTCTTGCTCCCTGGCTTTCCCCTCCAAGTAAGACAACAGACTCACTTGAACTGTTCCTACTCCAGAGAGCGAGAGGTATTCTTTGCAATGTTCAAAATCTTGTTTTGATTGATCGTTGTCTTCTCATTCTTTTAGGGCCTGTCTTTGGGAGCAAGGACAATTTTGTAGGACTGGGAGTATTTGTAGACACCTATCCCAATGAGGAAAAACAGCAAGAGGTAAGAGCAAGTGGCAAAACATACATCAACAGTACTGATGTCATAATTCCTGTTCCTAGGAAAGTTGACTGACAAAGGTTTGGGAAGGTGATTGGATGGAAATTAATTTACTTTATTTACCTAGTCTGTTGGACTTTAGAAATTGTTTTTGTGTTTTTGTAAAAGGGAAAGACTAGTGATTATAGATGAGGGCTTTTTCTCTAGTGTTAACTATTGTTCACATTTCATGTATGAACTGTTTTTCATAGTTCTCATTAACTATTATTTGTATTTCTCTCACAAATTACTGTGCTTCATACTTGTCTGTGTTTACGTTCATGAGTGCATGCATGCACACATATATAAACTAATATGAATGATCTTTTCTCTTCTGCTGCTCTCCTTATCTTCATACCCTCAAAGCTGAGGAGCAACCACTATCTTCCACATGAAAGCCTACATAAGAAAATGGTCTCAGAACCTCAGCAATTCTTTGCCTTAGAATGTGATCACGTGAGGAGACTGCTGTTCTTCAGGGTTCCTCAGATCTCTTTACATAGGCAGCAGGAAGTAGAATTGTCCACTTCTGCTCTGTGGGACTGACATTAGGGGCAAGAAAGATTATAGTGTAATTGGGTTTCTTTCACTGATTACATAAATAAGAGAATTGTGAGACAAGGAAGGCAGAGTTGGGAGTAAAGTTATAGCTCATTGTAGAAGTTGGAAAGGGAAGCTGCAGTGGGCTAATTCTGCTGCATAGCAATGGCACTATCTAATGTTTTTAAGTTGTAGCCTCTTTATGTTCCATTTCTGGGATCGGTGTGTCAAGTTTTTTTATATGCCAAGAAGAGGGGTTGTTAGCCTTGAAAAAGGATTCTAAGACATAGAGGTTCAATTGAATTCAGTAAGCATTCAGTAAACGTGATTTACTGATTATGTCCTGGGTTTTGGGATATGAAGACAAAATGAAATAAGTCCCTGCTGATGAGAGGCTTACATTTTACTGGGAGTATATGCCATTTTACGTGTGTGTGTGTGTGTGTGTGTGTGTGTGTGTGTGGTGTGTGTGTGTGTGTATACACGTATATGCAAATACACAATTATTTGAGAAGGAGAAGAACAGGAACAATTTAAGGAAAGATTTCCTTAGAAACTGTACTGAGTTGAACCTTGAGGAAGAAAAGGATCCTAACAAGACAGGATGGGAAGGGTGTGTATTTTGGGTATGGGGGACAGCCTGTACAAAGGTGCAGAGGTGGGAGGTGCAGTTTGTAGCTCAGAGAGTAGTAAGAAATAGGTCATCTTCACTAGAATGTGGTGTCCAGGGAGCAAGGTAAGTCTGAGGATGTTGGCCCGAGCCAAATTGCCATTTCTGTAAAGATCACGTTGAGTTGGTGTGGAGTCACATCACTCTACATCTTGTTCTTTTTAGTGGTCAGTTATCAGGATTTGCCTTCTAATTAATTGGCATTTCTGTAATATTTTCATGGTCATCATCAATATTTTCAGTATCAAACAGGCAAGGAGGCATAGTTGCTATTTCTTTCTTAGACTTTTTTTTTTGGTCTGGGAATTGTTTTGTAACTGCTCTCAGGTTCTTTTTCTTCATTTGATTTTTACTTCTGCAGGGGCAACTCTCTCCTTGAGATTTTGAGGCTGCTTTTTTTTTAGACATACTGATGATTTGGTGAAAGGTTTATAGGACCAGAGCTAGAAGGGACCTCAAATGTTATCTAGTCCAGCCCCGTTAGTTAACAGATGAGGACACTTGGGCCCAAGGAGTTTAAGTGACTTGCCTGCTATCACACAAGGAATAATTATCAGAGGAGGGATTTGAAGGCCTGCCATTTGACTATAGACCCTGTGTTTTTTTCCAGTGTATGATACTTCCTTATGTTGAGTAGAGAATTGCTATCTGAACTTAGATTTTATATCCATTCCTTGGGATACTGCTTATCAGACTGTTAAGGTAACTTGAATGGGTTTTAAGGTTTTTTTTAAGGCTGCCCTCTCCTCCCCCAAACTAAACAAAAACAAACCCAGCCACCAAAAAAACCCTTTTGTGTTCTGTTCATGGCATGGTGTACATACCTATAATCCACTGACACAAGCAGGAGATAGATGGGTACATATTGAACTTCTTGTGACCCTGATTTTGCCATACAGTAAAATGAGGCACAGAAGAGTTGTGGTGGGTGGGAAGAGCTCTTCACTACAATAGCATAAGTCACTGATCAAGGCCCTTCTGTGAGAACACGTGACTTCTCTTTCTTCCCTGTTCCCCGGTAACATGTAGTGGAGGCTGGAGAGATCTAGGTTTGAATTCTGCCTCAGACACTTAATTATAATAGCTAACATTTCTTTTCATTTCTTTCTTTTTTTTTCTTTTGGTGAGGCAGTCAGGGTTAAGCAACTTATCTGGGGTTAAGTGACTTATCCAGGGTCACAGAGCTAGTAAGTGTCAAGTGTTTGAGGCCAGATTTGAACTCAGATCCTTCTGACTCCAAGGCCAGAGCTCTATTCACTATGCCACCTAAATAGCTAACATTTCTATAGTGCTTACCATGTACTAGGCACTGTGCTAAGCGCATTAGAGTTAATATCTCAACTGATCATCACAACAACTTTGGAAGGTAGATGGTGTTATTCCCATTTTGCAGATGAGACAACTGAGACTAATAGAGGTTAAATGACTTATGCAGGATCGCAGAGCTAGGAAATGTCTGGGGCTGTATTTGAACTCAAGTTTTCCTGACTCCAGGCCTGGCACTATGTCCACTGTGCTGCCTAGCTGGGTGACCAGGGGCTACTCTGAGGTTCCTTCCTGGGCTAGATCTATAATTTTATGATCTGTTACCAAATCACAAGTATGTCTGAGAAAAGCAGATTCCCATCCTCAAGGTAAAATGGGGATAATAACTTCTACCTCCCAGGGTTGTGAGGATCAAATGAAATAATATGTCTGAGTCATTTTGGAAACTTTAAAATGTTATATAAATATCAACTGTTCCTGTTATGATTTTGGAGTTACAATACAAAGATAACAATGATCAAAATCTCATGAGAAAAATATATGAGGAGTCAGTGCATGGCTGGCATGCTCTGGAGTTTTGGGCATTTCTCTGGCATAGGGACAGATAGCTCAAACTTTTATAGCTTCATTTCTCTATCAGAGAGAACGATATTGTTTGTTAGCCATATAGGTCACATAGAAATTACCAGGATGATAAAGAGCTGTGTAAATACTGATTAAATACTTGTTCTATTCTTCTTTATTCTTTAATCACAAAGCCCTCAGCTGATGGTCAGCAGTTTCTCACATGAAAATGGGAAGTTTACTTAAAGTTTCAGTGAACTCAAAAGTATTATTTCAGAGAGTGAATATTGTAATTAGGACAAGAGACTTTGCTTGATGGAAAAGACAGAAGTATAGTTCTTCATAGGGTCTGACTTCATCTGTCTCTCCAAGAAGCAGGGGATGGATGGATGAATGAAAGAAAAGAAAGAAAGATCATTTATTAAGTGCTTACTGTTTGCAAGGTTATGTTAAGCACTGGACAACCAGGTGAAAAAGACAAGATAACCATTGGTCTAAGGGAGTCTATACGCGAACTAGGGGAGACAGCACATGTAAAAGTCCACCTGCCATGTAGATGGAAAGGTCTGGAAATCTTTTTTTTTTAAATTTGACTTTGATTTGGAATTTAAACACCATATAAAATGGACATTTCCGTATACATAGAACAGAGTAATAAGAAGATTGTGTACAAAACTGTAGATCTCTTATGTACAGCTTTCTTTTTTTAAAGTAAATAATAAGTTCAACCTGAAACTCTAAAATGTCAGTACTTCTTTCTGGTCTTTCTTCTGTTTTCTTCTCTGCATTTTTAAAAAAATAATGCTTTGATGATCCTTTTTTTTTTTGTGAGGGGGCTATTCTATCCTTTTCCTCCTTAGTCTTAAATATATTCTCTGCCTTGGGGGAAGAAAAAGAAAGCCATTTAACCAGTGTGCATAATTAAGCAAACCAAATTCCCACTTTGTATCTGAAAATGTCTTATTTCTGCATCTTGATTCTATCACCTCTGTCAAGAGTAGCATGCTTCATCAGTAGTCCTCTAGAATCATAGTCAGTCATTGCATTAATCAAAGTTCTCAAGTCTTTCAAAGTTTTTTTCTTTATCATGTTGTTAATGTATAAATTATTCTTCTGATTCTGCTTACTTCACTATGCATCAGTTTATAATGTCTTCCTAGGTTTCTCTGAAACTGTTGATTTAATAATTTCTTACAAAACAATATTTCGTTTATACACCATAATTTTTTTAGCCTTCCTCCAATAGATGGGCATTCTCTGCTTTAGATTCCAGAGCTGCTATTACAAATCTTGTACATGTCATCCTGTATGTTTAAGTCATGTAGCCAGAATTTATGTATGCCTGGATCCTGGAATTTTATGATCTGAGGGGAAATATCACAAATCTCAGCATTTTATGTTTTAGGGCCTATTTCCACTCCTTAGCTTTTTTGATTTTTGGGTTATAACCTAAACCCCCACATTGTATGATGTCTAATTGATTTATTGAGCATAATATTAGCTTGATACTAGTAGGCAAACTCATCCTGTATTTCTCTGAAGGTCAGTCCAAATGTGTGGTGGTTTTCAGCAATGTAAGGAACCAACTTACCTGCAATATTTCTTTTTTTTTCTGCCCCTATGCCAACACTACCGGGTGTCAGATTTAATAGGTTGGAGTGTAGGCTGGTTTTAGGTTTGGAACCTATAAAATATAGGCCATTCCAAGCCATGTGATGAGAAGCTCACACAACTACTTACTTGCTTCTGCCTACCCTGCTTCTGATCACTGCATTCAAGATTGAGCTTGCTGAGATAATGTCTATCAATTTTTCCCTCATTTATTCCCCTCATTCAGAAACTTATCCCCCTAGACTGCAGTATTGTAGTAGCCTCCTAACTGATCTCCTTACCTTCAGTTTCTCCCTCTATAATCCAGGATGAT